ATGTGGATGGGGATGCGGACTAGGAATGTGGGGGCGATGTGATTGCCAGGAAGGCGCCGAGCTTGCCAGCTGCCAGTTAGCCAGCATTTCCAGCTTGCCAGGAAACCAGATAGCTGGAAATGACACTGGCCAACCCGAATCCGACGAGCTGACACACGTGGCTTGTGCACGGAAAATAAATGGGGTTAACCATCAAAGCCACAAAATGTATATTCATTTGGCAACAGAAATATCATCAGTATTTTAAACCACCATTATTTTAAGCCAGCGAAAAAATTATAAAGGTTTAATTACGCATTGTTTCAACATTTTTAAATGGTAATGCAATAAAAATTTATTTATTTATTTATTATTAAAGATAGAGAAGTTTACAAAACTAGACTAACTTAGGTGGTAAAGCGCTGGCAGCAAGGCCTTCGGCTCTTAAGGTTAATGTTATTTAAGTCTATTAGTTTATTTACATGTTGTTTATTGTAGTTTTGCTACTTAGTTGGTAATATTAGTAATTTCTGTACATTTTTGTTTGTGTTTTATATTTTGTGGTAAAGGTTTGAGGTTTTTAAGAAAGTTAAGATTTGTTCTACATTATTTGGGTTGAGGTCGTTAAGGAGGTTTATTGGGTTTGTGTTTTTGAAAATGGATAGTTTAGTGGATAGGAGTGATGGGCATGAGTTAAGTAGGTGGGGTATGGTATTGTCGCCTTGGCAGAAGGGACATGGCGAAGTTTGATTTTGATTGAAGTAGTGTTCATGTGTAAGTTTAGTGTGGCCTAACCTAAGGCGTATTATTTTTATTTGATCGAGTCTGTTCGATTTGGGATGGAAGGATCTAAAGTAATTGTCTATGTTTGAAAAGTCTTTGTTCATAGTTTTGTACCATTGATTGCAGTGTTCTATATTTTGTCTATTTCTTGTTCGGAATTCTTGCTTTAGATGTCTGTTGATGTCTGTTTGATTTATGTTTGGGGTGTAGATGAGGGGCATATTGCTAGTCGATTTTGCAGTATGGTCGGCTAGCTCGTTGCCTGCTATGCCTACATGACCAGGGATCCAAAGTAATTTTATTTTTGGAGCTAGTTTTGTAAGAAGTGATCTGATTTTGTTGGAATAAAAGTTGTTGTTGTTGGTGTTTGTTATGAATGCAATAATAATAATATTATCCCTCTTATGATCAACTTTAAAATTTTAATTTATTGGCTTAACAAATTATTTAATCACAACCATAATTTATTTCTGCACAGATAAAAATTCCAAGTATATCAGCTGCAGTAAACTGACTAAAAAAGCAATAAAATGTTGATGTATTTTCCGCTGTGCAGCGGCAATTAAAAATCCTTTGGCTTCGGCAGGGGACAGCTGGCGAAATGGAAGTGCAATTCATTGCCACACATCACGAGCAGCTGTCCGCCTCCAGAGGAGAAAGTGCAAAAGGAGGCGTGGCAGACAAGAAATTGTCGCCGGCGACCCCCTGCTAACAAACACATACACACAGAGAGCCCGAATGGAGTAGCGGAAAATGAAGTTTTTCCGAGTTACATCAGCAACTCCCAGACAGAGCAAACAAAAACTTTGCAAATTGCAATTCATCGCTCACGCAAAAGAGGGTGAAATGGTGGAACTGTGCTCTGTGCTCTTAATAGAAAATAAAAGCAAGGAAAAAATCATGTTTTATTTTCCGCTCTTGCCGCTTTTCCCGCTTTTCCAGCCCGCGTACACACCTCCCGTTTTCATTACAAGCCATTCAGACGGCGCACCCTGGATTTTCCTGGCAGCCATTACAGCCCCAGTAAAAATGGCGGCGGCACCCGGAAGTCGGCAGTTTTCCGCTGCCCTCTCTTTCTATCCGCCGTTGCCCTTGCTCTCTCTCTCCTTCTCCGTCCTCTCTATCTCTTTCTCACTCCTAGAATGTCGAAGCCCGCTGATGAGAAATGACAGGCAATAATGCCGTTAGCCGTGCTCCATCTGCATTTATCATAACTTTTGTGTGTTATTTGCTTTGATGGTGCTGCTTTCTTGCCCGCGGGTGTTGTTCGCATTGCCGGGCTTCATAGGGTTTCGTAATCTGTGTTTCTGTAATTGCCAAGTGCGATGCCTGTTGCCTTCGTATCTGTCTTATCGCGCTTTGTTTTTGTCCCCGTTAAGACTCGCCCTTTTGCGTTGTCTAGAGCTGTAAACTCTTTCTCGTAAGTATGCAATCAAACTGCTTTTATATCCTTGGCCTAATCTGAAGCTTTTACTCTGCACAACTAAGATAGAGATTGTGTAATCTAGTTCCAATTTCCCTTCCTTAAAAATGTATGAATTTTAAGTTTGTAGTTGAAAAACTGGCTGTCTGTCTGTCAACAGCATTAAAAATTAAATTTAACGCTTTGCAGCTTACTTTTGCATTATAAAGCTGATATTGAACTTTGTTCAGGAATATAAATGAATGCACATAATCTGCAACTGGTCCACGCTTTGTGTGCTTACATAAAACCACTTGAATTTGAGGCAGTCTATCCCACTACCAATTTTGAATGCAATTTAATTTATGCAGAATCAAAGCTGATTATTTGCACCGGTCGAAATTGCATCCAGACCGAACTGTAATATACACCCACAAACATAGAGCTAAATAAATATTTGATTTGCTTTATTGCATCAGGCCATTGGTAGCTGCATAATTGAACGCCGAATGCGATTAATTGCCAAAGCAAACATGAATCGAAAGCATTGAATTATGGAAATTATGAATGGGAATCCTTACAATTTATATGCAGGCTGGGGGATTTTTGTTTTAAATTCGTGTAATAATTATCTTCAATCAAGCGATTAATGTCGATCAATTAAATTATTACTGCTAATTATGTAAACATGCTTTTTACAAATGCCTTTGCAGTCGCTTTATGGTTGTGCATCCAATTTGCATGCCGAGTGCTCCATATTCCGCATTCTGATGACATTTGCGCAAAACTTGTGAATATAAACCATTTCGAGTACTTTTGCCTTGTGCTGCATTCACGCATCACGCATACGCACTGTTGGCCAGCACTTTTTGTATATCGATGTCGGCTGTGAGTGTGCAACTTGCTAAAGTGCTTGCCAAGAGCTCAACGCTCTTTTTGCACCTAATGCCTGGCGAACACACAAATTGAAGCTCTCCGGGAGATGCAAACGCATGCCTGCCGGATTGTCCTTGAGCTGTCGGTCCGGCCCCCATCAACAATTTCCATACTACCAAACTTTGTCAGGGCTTTGAAAAAGCCCGAACAAAGGGGACTGCCCAAAGTGGAAATGGTAAATGCCAGGGCAGGATTATATCAGTTTCCCTTTTTCGGTTTTTTTTTTCTTTTTTTTTTTTGGACAGGTAATGCGTTCATAACGGATTAGCAGAAATGGGAACACCGAAACCCGAAACCAGAGCCTCCACAGCTGGGGACTCAACGCAAACAGTTTCCGGCGATGCCCGGATAATTGTTACAATATACAAAATTTTCATTTAGTATATTTGCCCAGCGACAACATGTCAGCATAACAGCAACATCAGTGGCAGCTGTAGCACCAGCAACATCGGCAAACAGCCACGCCCCCAGTTTACAGTGGGTAAAAAGAAAATTATTTAGTTGAAATTAAAGGAAAGCTAAAAGGGTTTTAATTGTATGCCCATCAAACAAATATTTTATACGACGTTCAAATTTGTTATAATGAAACAATATCTACAATTTTCTACCAACTTATTCGTACTCAGGTTAGATACGTGTTTATGAGAATAATATTATATTATATTTTGATTTTTGTTTAGAAATTGTCTTTTGGCCCATCGTACAAATGTGTGAGTGTTTGCTCGCAGGAAGTTTGTGTGTTTATTTGACTTATGTGACGCTGTAAATAGGGGAGTAAGAGGTTTGTACGATTGTCGGGCCTGGATGTTATTTAAAATGCAGACATGTGTAGCCTGTAGTTGCTGTTATTGCTACTGGTGCGCCATTAAAATCCCAGCAACATTGTTAATGAACTTTTAATGACTTTTTGTGAGTACACACACTAAAACAATATCAACTTTGGCACCGAGTACATGAAGCACCAATCTCAGGGCTTCGGGTTTGTTTCTATTCCCTTTTTTTTTTTGGAGCAAGCGTGAAATCTAAATCTAAAACAAACTTTTGACAAACAGCAACAAGCGTCGCACTGCAGCAACATTGGCAAGTGCAACAGCAACACCATTTATATGCGAAATTTGGAGTGGAGTGGCTGAAAAGCCCGAGGCTCGCAACTTGTTTACACAGAAGTCCAGTGGGCGTGTGGGCGAGAACGTGTGCAGTGCATCTTGATTAACAAATCAACTGGAATTGGAATGCGATTGCGATTGCGATTGCATGCGATTCATCAGTAATCGGGAATCTTGGCTGCAGGCCAAATGGAGCCATCAACCATTCAGTTGCCCGAAAGCCATGCGGAGAAGCACTTTCGCCTCGATTTAAGGCGAATAAATCCATCAGCCTGGGGGAATTTCAAGTAATGAGCCTTTAAGTGGCTTCACATGTACTGGAAAGCGATGGTAAAATATTTAACAACAGTTGGAGACTTCGGCAACGTGGATGTCACAGAAATTGAATCTTGATGACTTTAATACATTGTGTCATGAGCTGCCAAAAGAAATTAAAACAATCTTTCAGCAGGTATAGATTTAACTTTAAATTCAGTTTGAAAATCTATTCCGATTTAAATATAATTTACTTATAATTAGATCATAAACAAACTATAGACAAACTAATAAAACAAATTCAAGAAATTAACGCTAAAGCAAATAAAACCTTCACACATATTTTAATGCAAGTCATGTTCACGTATTTAGATTAGCCACCAAAAAGTAAACAAATGCTTCTGATAAAACAGTTTATAGGCAAAACCGCAAGATAAGAAAAAATGGTTTAAGTTTCACTATTGTTTATTATCATACTCTCTCTTTCTACCGCTTATCGCTGATATTTAAACGCGCGGTTTTCACCACGATCGTTCAGTCGACGACGATTCAGTGTTGAAAAAGGTGGGTGCGCTCTGCTGTGGTGAACTGCGGACCAGCTGCTTGAAGATCTTTGTTTGGACAAACAATTTAATTGATAAATTATCAACCGGCTAATATTTGTTAACACAGTTCAAAATGAGTACCGCCAAGTGGGAAAACAATGAGGAAATCAAGATCTTTCGGGAATATCTTCGCATACCAACAGTGCATCCGAATGTGGATTACAGTGAGTTTATATGGCTTTAATCTATATGAGGCTGTGATAAGAGCCACGATCTTTATGACCTTGCCATATAATGTGTCTGATATTTATAGCCGCCTGTGTGGAATTCTTAAAACGGCAGGCAAAAAGTTTGGACCTACCTGTGGAGGTTATCTACCCAGTAAACGAGCAAAATCCCGTAGTTGTCCTCAAATGGCAAGGATCTCAGCCGGAACTTCCATCCATTATTCTCAATTCTCACACAGATGTGGTGCCCGTCTTTGAGGAGAAATGGACTCATGGTCCCTTCAGCGCGGATCTGGATGCTGAGGGTCGCATCTTCGCCAGGGGATCGCAGGACATGAAGTGTGTGGGAACCCAGTATTTGGGAGCAGTTCGAGCCCTCAAGGCAACTGGATATCAGCCCAAGCGCACCATTTACCTCACCTTCGTTCCGGATGAGGAGGTGGGTGGCCATCTGGGCATGCGGGAGCTGGTCAAGAGCGACTACTTCAAGAAACTCAACGTGGGCTTCAGCTTCGACGAGGGAATCTCCAGCGAGGACGAGACCTACGCTTTGTACTATGCCGAAAGGACTCTGTGGCGTAAGTGTACTAAGATGTTAATGGTCCATTTATATCTTATGTTTCCACACAGATCTCAGGTTCAAGTTTAGTGGAACTGCCGGGCACGGATCCCTTTTGCTGCCCAATACTGCTGGCGAGAAGCTGAATTACGTGGTGGGCAAACTAATGGACTTCCGCAAATCCCAGGTGGAGAAACTGGCTGGCGACTCTTCCCTCGAAATTGGTGATGTGACCACTGTGAACCTAACCCAGCTGAGGGGTGGAGTGCAGAGCAACGTGGTTCCTCCCCTGCTGGAGGCTGTGTTCGATATCAGAATCGCCGTCACCGTGGACATTGCTGCTTTTGAGAAGCAGATTCGCGACTGGTGCGAGGAGGCTGGCGGCGGCATCGAGCTGGAATTCGAAATGAAGAATCCCTTTGTGGAGCCAACAAAGATTGATTCGTCGAACCCCTACTGGTTGGCCTTTAAAAAGGCTCTCGATGACCTGTAAGCATAAGGCGCTCTTACAAAAAGCATAAGTCTGATATAATATTCTGTTATTTCCTGCAGTGGCTTGAAGACACGAGTTCGAGTTTTCCCCGGTGCCACGGACAGTCGCTATGTTCGCTATGCTGGCATTCCTGCTCTGGGTTTCTCGCCCATCAACAACACACCCATCCTTTTGCACGACCACGATGAATTCTTGAAAGCCGACACCTATTTGCATGGCATTGAGGTCTACAAGAAGCTTATTCCCGCAGTGGCCGATGCCTAATTGATTTTGAGCCTTAAGGCAACAAAATTGTGCATTTATATTTTGTGTAGCCTTGTTTAAGCATGCCAATAAAAACATTTTATAAATAAAAATCATGTAAATTATTTAATCAGATAAATATACAAGACAGGCTTAGTACCTTCAATAGTGAGCATAGCAAGTTACTCTATATATCATGAATACTGCTCTGCAATCAAGGGATTTTGAGATAAAAGATAATCAAATTGTTCTAAGTCAACAGCTGATAACGCCGTTAAGTCAAGCCCTTACAACCTTAAGGCAAACATTGTCGCGACTTACAAGTCAGTCGCTCAAGAATCACACTAAACTCAAAATGTCTTGCCCGGAGCAATGGAGAAACGACGAGGAAATTAAAATATTCCAGGAGTATTTACGTATACCCACGCAGCACCCAGATATCGACTACAGTGAGGATTGATTTGAATCTATGTGTTTCCTTGTTGTCTAACTTTCAATTTTAGCTGAGTGCGTTGAGTTCCTGAAGCGGCAGGCTGGCAACCTGAACCTACCAGTGGATGTGATCCATCCCGGGATGCCATCGAAGCCGGTGGTGATTATGAAGTGGCTGGGAAAGTGTCCCGAACTGCCATCAATTGTTCTGAACTCGCACATGGACGTGGTGCCCGTGTTCCCAGAGAAGTGGACCCACGACCCCTTTGCTGCGCACATGGACAACGAGGGAAGGATTTACGCACGTGGGGCACAGGACATGAAGTCCGTGGCCTGCCAGTATCTGGCTGCCATTCGGTCTCTAAAATCCAGTGGCTATCAACCGAAGAGAACGGTGTTTTTGACATTTGTGCCCGACGAGGAAACCGGCGGCGACATGGGCATGGCCGAACTTGTGAAGGGCGATTACTTCACGAAAATGAATGTGGGCTTCAGCCTGGACGAGGGCATCGCCAGTGAAGATGACTCTTATCCTGTCTTCTATGCAGAGCGAACATGCTGGCGTAAGTCCTTAGGCTTTCGTAGCAGTTTTGTTGTTGCCATTTTTAGTATCATACCCTTCTCAGATCTCCGATTAAAGTTCAGTGGCACTTCGGGTCACGGATCGCTGCTGCTCAAAAGCACGGCTGGCGAAAAGTTTCACTATGTGATGGACAAGATAATGAAGTTCCGGGAGACCCAGGTTCAGCTACTGGCTAACGACTCCTCCTTGGATTTGGGTGATGCCACCACTTTGAATCTGACCATGCTCGATGGAGGGAAGCAGAGCAATGTGGTGCCTCCGTTGCTGGAAGCAGTTTTCGATATTCGCATAGCCATCAAGCAGGATTTGGCTGAGCTCGAGCAGTTGATTCGCAACTGGTGTGATGAGGTTGGTGGCGGAGTGGAGCTGGACTTCATCCTAAAATGTCCTTTCGTGGAGCCCACCAAAGTAGACGACTCCAATCCCTACTGGTTGGCTTTCAAGACAGCCATGGATGAACTGTGAGTGAAACGCGAGAATTGAGTTTTCCTTCCTAATTTGCATCCTCTGTAGCAACCTGAAAGTCCATCCTCGAGTTTTTCCTGCTGCCACCGATAGCTGCTTCATCCGGGCGATTGGCATTCCGGCGCTGGGGTTTTCCCCCATTAAAAACACGCCAGTGCTGCTGCACAATCATGATGAGTACTTGAGGGCCGATACCTATCTGCACGGAATTCAGGTCTACAAAAAACTGATTCCGGCACTAGCTGATTCATAAAAAGTTTACCCCAAACTATACGCTGGTTAAAAATGGAAATCAATATGATTCGATTGGTCTTATCTTTTATGAGTAATGTTTGAAGTCGATGAGTGTGAGGCCGAAATTAAATGCTCAAAGGCTTTAAAATCATATCTGCTACAATATCAAATAAAAGACAAGCACTGAAAATAAAAATTTCTGTGTAGCTGAAATCTAGTGGACTTTGCCCTCAAAATATGTCTAGTCATTATTTTATTGTTTTATAAGGGTCTTAACAAATCGGTGAGTGGAGCTTCTTCAGTATTTATTTAAACTATATCGAATGTGGCTACTGTTTGCTATCGACATTTGTTTTTGGAGTATTTTGTACAAGAATTCGTCGTGTTATCATTTTGCTACCGCAAACGGTTGATAACGCACTCATTATTTGATAATAATTAAACACCAAGGCCATAAAATCAAATTCAACGAACACGAAATTTCCTGTATAAGCTCATTCCTACGCAACCGTTGAACATTCAAGATTGGTAACTGGCAGAGCAAACATCGCCACAAAATGAGCGCGGAAAAGTGGGAGGACAACGAGGAAATCAAAATATTCCGGGAGTACTTGCGTATAGCAACGGTGCAACCAAATGTGGATTACAGTAAGCCAGCGGCAGAAGATTTATAGGAGCATTACTTAAGGACACTTAAACTTTTAGCCGAGTGCGTCGAGTTCCTCAAGCGACAGGCTCACAGCCTGGATCTGCCAGTGGATGTCATCTATCCTGTGGAGAAGAAGCCCGTGGTGATTATCAAGTGGCTGGGAACCGAGCCGGAGTTGCCCTCCATAATCCTTAACTCGCACATGGATGTGGTGCCCGTGTTCCGCGACAAGTGGACCCACGATCCCTTTGCCGCCGACATCGATGAGGAGGGCAGGATCTTTGCTCGCGGCACACAGGACATGAAGTCGGTGGGCACTGGATATCTGGGTGCCATTCGCCTGCTGAAGGCCAGTGGTGTCCAGCCCAAGCGCAACTTCTTCGTGACCTTTGTGCCCGATGAGGAGATCGGTGGGGAGTTGGGCATGCAGGAGTTCGTTAAAACCGAATACTACAGCAACATGAATGTGGGTTTCAGTCTCGACGAGGGCGGCACCAGCGAAATAGATCTATTCTACGTGTTCTACGCCGAACGTATGCGATGGGGTGAGTGTTTCTTATGAGTCACATCAGACGGGAAACCAAAATACTCTCTTTCCGATAGGACTCAAACTGAACTTCAGTGGAACCTCTGGACATGGATCGATGTTGCTGCCCAGCACTGCCGGCGTGAAACTGAACTATGTGCTGAACAAACTCACGGAGTTCCGTGAGTCGCAGGTTCAGCGATTGGCCAGGGATCAGACCATCAACATCGGCGATGTGACCACCATCAATCTCACCCAGCTGAGCGGCGGAGTCCAGAGCAATGTGGTGCCCCCGCACTTCGAGGCTGTCTTCGACATGCGACTCTCCATCACTCTAGATGTGGTTGCCTTCGAGAAGCAGATCCACGACTGGTGCGAGGAGGCAGGTGGCGGCATCGAGATCTCCTTCGACGAGAAGGAGCCCTATGTGGCACCCACCAAGATCGACGACTCCAATCCCTTCTGGCTGGCCTTCAAAGCAGCCACCAATGAACTGTAAGCTAAATCCAAGTTCTCTTTCTAATACCAATTACTGAATACATATTTCAAATTACAGTGGCCTGAAGATCTACCCCATTGTTTGCCCCGGTGCCACAGACAGCAGAAATATCCGCGCACAAGGAATTCCTGCCTTGGGATTCTCACCCATCAAAAATACCACCATGCGCATCCATGATCACGACGAGTTTTTGGGAGCCGAAACCTATTTGAAGGGCATTCAAATATACAAGAAAATTTTGGGCAACCTATCCGAAGTCTGAAACTGAATTCGAAATATTGCATGAGAACCTTATCAAAATAAATACATCATTTCTCTCTAAGTTGAAACAAATATTCCGGTTTTTATTATCTTATCACCGCTGAATTAAATGGATATGTTTTTACAAACAGATATCAAATTTTATCAAAAGAAAACAAAACTTGTTATTTTAATGACAGACAAAGATAATGGCGAATAGATATCCATATCAATATAGATAGCAAGTTTGAACTACGCGAATCTCATTAAAGCCAATGTAATCACTTGATAAACGAAGGCCTTCAATCAAAAATTTAAGGAAATGTCATATTTTTGTAATTTATTGATACTTTTTGATACTATACAAATTGATTTATTAAACAGGTCAAAGTTCTTTGTCGTGCAGCGCAGAGAGACCTACTCTCTTTTTTGCTTTTAGAGATGCAGAATAATAAACCACACTCGGTTTGGTTAAGCTAGTGGTTTTCTGCTGATAATGCTGTTACTATCTCAACCTCAAAACCAACATTGACAATATAAAAACGGTTTGGGATCTCATGGCGAACTCAGTTGCTGTTGATCTCCAACGAATAAACACATAAAATGAGTTCCAAAAAGTGGGAGAGCAATGAGGAAATTCAAATTTTTCGGGAATACTTGCAGATACCAACAGTTCATCCTGATGTTGACTACAGTAAGGACATTCTCACATGTGAAAAATGTTCAACAAATTCATGTCTTAAACTCTTTCAGCCGACTGTGTGGAGTTCCTTAAACGTCAGGCTAGCTCCTTGAATCTTCCCGTGGATGTGGTTTATCCAGCGGTAAAAACCAAACCTGTGGTGATCATTAAGTGGCTAGGAAGCCAGCCGGAACTGCCCTCAATTATTCTTAACTCCCATACGGATGTGGTTCCCGTCTTTCGGGAGAAGTGGACCCACGATCCCTTCGCAGCGGATATCGATGAAGAGGGCAGGATTTATGCTCGAGGTACGCAGGACATGAAGTCGGTGGGCACTCAGTATCTAGGAGCGATTCGCCTGCTGAAGGCCAGTGGATTCCAGCCAAAGCGCACTTTTTATGTGACCTTTGTTCCCGACGAGGAGATTGGTGGGGAGTTGGGCATGAAGGCTTTCGTTAAGACAGATTACTACAAGGAAATGAACGTGGGATTCAGTCTGGATGAAGGAGCCACAAGTCCGACTGATGTACATCATTTGTTCTACGCCGAACGTTTGCGATGGGGTAGGTATTGCTGATACATCAAGTTGGATGTGGAAATATCTAATTCAAAGCATTCTGTAGCACTCAAATTGAAAGCCAGTGGAACTTCTGGTCACGGATCGTTACTGCTGCCCGATACCGCCGGCGTAAAATTGAATTATGTTGTAAATAAGCTGACGGAGTTTCGCACCTCGCAAGTGCAGAGAATGGCCAAGGACTCCAGTCTCAGTGCAGGTGATGTGACCACGGTGAATCTCACCCAGTTGAGTGGTGGAGTCCAGAGCAACGTGGTGCCACCGAGTTTCGAGGCAGTGTTCGACATGCGAATAGCCATTACCGTGGATTTGGTTGCCTTCGAGAAACAAATTCGCGATTGGTGCGAGGAGGCAGGAGGTGGCATTGAGATCGAGTTCTTTCGAAAGGAACCTTTAATAGGACCAACCAATATGGATAATTCAAATCCCTACTGGGTGGCTCTCAAAGCGGCCATCGATGAACTGTGAGTACCCTTTTAAAATTATTTTGCCTTTAATAATCTCGAAGTACTTTTTTTTTCTAGTGATCTAAAGATTCGTCCCATTGTTTGCCCCGGCGCCACAGACAGCCGTTACATTCGGGAAAAGGGAACCCCCGCCTTTGGATTTTCACCCATCATAAATACCACCATGCGGATCCATGACCACGATGAATTCCTACAGGCCGACGTTTATCTTAATGGCATTGAAGTGTACAAGAAGATAATTCGCAATCTGGCTGAAGTCTAAAAACACTATTATAAACCACCATAAAACCACCACATGCATTGCATTTTATACTTTTATCCTAACAAAGATTGTCTGATTCTTACAAAGTGGTTACTTACTGGCTATTTCTATAACATTATCTTATCAACTGCCAGCGTATATTTAAACAAAAGCTCTTTATTTCAAAGATTAAACGAATTTAGTTTGCTGTAAAAAAGAAATCTCTTTTATAATATCATTCAATTAATTGCTTAAAGATGATAATTTTTTCTCTTCAGTAATAAAATTAAAGACTAAATTGAAGAACAATAATCTGATCACTGTTCTGGGTGACATACTAATCTCTACTCCCAGGAGACTAAAAATCTAGAAAGCCGTTTATCCTCGGCGACGAATAGTCGACAAGTGGGCATCCCGGCGCCCGGAGTCTTGTCCATCAACAACAGACCATCTCTACTACATGACCCAAACGAGTACGTCCAGTTTCGCTCCTATCTGGATGGCAGGGCGATCTACAAAGAACTCATTTCGAAACCTGGTCAGTGCCACATAGCGCATACGCCCCGTTGCCCAGCCCTTTTGCCCATTTGCCGTTGAGCTGAGTGCTGTCATCGATGTGACAGCTTCGAACGACGAGTTTGCGAGACACTGCCGGCAAGCGGACGAGACAGGTGGGAGTGAGTTTTGTCAGTTAGTCAAACAAAATAAATTTTAAGGCCCTGCCACCTGCGAACGCGGGGTCACGGGTTAAACGGCTGCATGTCAGTCTCTGCAAATTGTCAGTTGGCCAGCACTTCGGAATGTCTGACATGTGAGTGGTGCCAAGGGCAATAAATTATGCTGGGGCCGCAGAATGAATAATGGCATCGTGCTCTCAAAAGGACCCCTCTGTGCGTACTCCCCATCCTCCCTATCCATATACCCCTCTCCACCCCTCTCGTTTTTGGCCATTTGTGCGCTGGCTGCAACTGTGACCCCTGCGTGCCGATTAGACATGTTAATGCATGTGTCAGGGCAATGAAATATGTATTGATGGGGGTCGCAACAACGGATCCCTTGTCCCCATTGCGGCCAGGAATTATGACAATTTATCAGGCGAACGCCGGTTGGGTGGCAGGCCGCTTGGGTTCGGGTTCGGGTTTGAAGTGCATTCCAAATGCTTTCCACGCAATTAACACTGACCATTAGTGGCGCCAGTTTGGCATAATGAGTGCACCAGTGCCGGCCAGGTCCGGCCCTTTAACGCTCTCGTTACCGCTGGCAACTTAATGCATATCATTTTTACTTTTAATGAGCTGGTGGCAGTTGGCAGCACAGCTCGCTCACCGCCTCCTTCCCCTCCTCCTGCTCCTCTTGGCCTCCGTCGCCTCCTGTCTGGTCCTCGCCAAGTGCACTTAATGCAGCAAGTTTTTGCAGCCCACCTGCCACGAACCCACTTGAAAGCAAGTTCTGGGTTCTGGCTGCTGGCTGCTGGGTTTTCGGTACTCGGTTCTGGGTTCTCGGTTCTGGGTTCCGGCTTCCCTTTTCCACACCGCTTTTCCACGGCATTCCGCTTTGCATTTTAAATTTCCGCCAACTCCTATAGCGTGAGTGTGTGTCTAAGGGGGGCGGTGCGGAAAGTTTGGCAACTTTTACATTTCAATTTTAATTTCTTTGCCCCACACTCGATGCAAACTTTAAGCCGAACCTGAGCAAATTCTTAATGGCCCACTCACAGTAATTAGGGCCTCCAGAACTTTGGTGAGCCTTTAAAGAATCCTCCTCCGAAGGAGAAAGGAAGAAGCTCAAAATTTGCATTTGCCAGCAGCGACGATTTTTTATTGCCGTCCGAAGTTTATGACGAATAAAACCCAACAATCACAATGAAAAACTCGTTCCTAATTAAATTCAATTTACTTGTGACTGCTGCGGCTCGATGTCCTGAAATGGCAGGCTCACAACATTATGGCCGTGCAATTAAAATCCAAGATTAAACGAGCTTAGGGTTGTGTATCTGTGATGGCTCCTCCTTGAGTACACTTGCGGTCAGTATAAAAACACTGTGCTCCACATTAGTTGTGTTACGGTGCGTTTAATGTTTAACGGTCATTATTTTAAAATTTTTATGGGCAATAAAAAGATGGAAGCTATTAAGTTTAAGTGCTCACTATTATGCAAAGATCCTAACTGCTTATTGTATCTTTAAAAGTTTTCCATTGTTGAAAAAAACTGCATATTCCTGCATCAACATCAATTTTAAGGCGTTCCAGGAAATAAATAAGTTTAAGTTGGCTTATAAATAATTTCTGAAAATGTATTGAAAAAATCTGAAGTCCCTATTGTTTTGACCATTGCTGTTTGTGGACACCCGCATCGCGTTTAGTACATGTAGTACATATATTGCGCTGGGGACAACAAAGTGTTTTTATGCCACACAAAGGCAATTGCCGCCGCCTTGTTCTCTAATGTCGCCGCAGCTGCACAGTGGGCCACACAGGTGACCAGGCTGCCACATGAAAATGAAAATGAATTTTAAATTAAGAAAATGGCGAAGAAAAAGGGAAAAATCAGGAGCCTGCCGAGAGTGGGGTTTAATGTGCCGTAGATCAAAGTCAGGCCGTAGATGAGATCCCATTTGACACTCGGCGCACACAGTGTGCCATGCCGCCAATGTGCCACGCCAGTGAGAGAGCGCTTCCTGTGGCAAGGATAATAAACGTTGGCTAGAACCACGTCCTGCACCGCCGGCAGCTGACTGAAAAGTGTCATTAAAGCGCAAGCACGCCCACACGCACTCACACGCTTAATAAAGTCAATTGAAGTCTCCATGGCGCTTATGTGTGTGCGGCAAATAATTTATTTTGTCGTTAAGCTTAACTCCAGCCTTTGCGGGCGAAAAAAGAGAGAGGCAAACTAATTAACTTGTTTAGCGCCAAAGCTGCGCAATTTCTACGCTCGCAGCTTAAGCTTAAGCACCGCTGCCGCCCAACTAATGAGCTCCTGTGCGCTATATAGTATACTGTGTATGTGTGTGTGTTAGCCAGTTGAGCCAGCTCGGTTGTGCGGCTGTGTGGGTGCGACATTGGGAGCGGGTATCCCCGGCAAAATTCTTCTAAAAAGTTGCGCCTGATTAAGCCCTTGCGGCCATGGGTGAAAGTGGGATTCGGCACGGGATTCTGGAAGCGGCTCTTGGGATTCGGGCATCTAGTTTCACATAGAGCCTTGTCTGCATAATTCCAACTTCCACTTGTAAAAATTTATTTAGCTGCGAGCTAGCTCGAAATAAAGTTTGGCGACTAATAGTTTATAATTAGTCTTCATTCTTCAAACTGAAACTACTTTCTAGACTAGAACTTAACTCAAAGAGTCGTAATTCAAAACTTGCGGATTGGTTAACTGAGAAGTGCGAAGATCAAAAGACCGAAAATGAAAACGAAAATAAAAACCCTTAATAATAACTCAGAGTTTGTGACAGTTAATCTGAAGTTAGGATTAGTTCAGAATCTTTTTTCTTTGAAACTTGTTAAATTTATAAGAAATAATAATACATAATTTTAATAATAATTCTCTTAAGCCACAAACAAGAGGTCTTGTCACGTATTTTCAGCACAGAAGGGAAACTCTGAGAAAGGTAACGTACGGGTAACAGAATCATACAAGAGGAGGAAAATATTGTAATATTTTTGTTTGTTCCTCGTCAACTGATTCTTCGATGGGTGGAATTTCGACTGTAGCCCTCTTGCGCTGTCGCTGCCGCCAAGAAAAGTTTATTGCATGCGCCCGGGCGCAGCAATATGAGACCGCGGCGGAAATAGCATTGCAAGTCGGGCCAAAAGAGGCAAGGCAGCCGAAACAGCGCGGAACATGCAAAAGCAGTGCAAACTTGGCTTGGCTTTCCCCCTTTCCCCGCCTTTTCCGTGCATCAGCGCTTCGCGACTTGGCGTCGTCTGTGTGGGCCAGCAATTGCAATTTCATTTCCGTTCCCTGGCTTTTTATTCCCTTATTTGGCCGTCAGTGTGTTTGCAGTCGCCGCCGTTCCGTTTATTTTCGAGAAATAAGTATTTTTGGTTGCTGTTTCAGTTTCAGCTACAGCACCAGCTCCAGCTTCAGCTTCAGCTTCAACTTCTGTTTTTGTAATGTTTCTTTTTACTTTGGCTTTTGCACAGAGTTTCAGCTCAGATACGGGGAAAATTCTTGCATAAACTTTTGCAGGCTGCGCGGAATGATGGCGGAGTTGGTATCTAATTGAAACGGAGCAAAGGAATGCATTCCTGGGGGGCGGAGTTTGCCGCCGAGTAACAAAGTGCAACAGGAAGTGGGAACGGCAGCAGCTGCAATTGAATTTGCCACGAAAATGCAAAATGAAGCTCGAATAAAAATTTAATTTTTCCTTCCTGCATGATTGGAGTGGGGGGCGAAGTGTTGAAATGTTGTTTCACAAAGAGCCTTGAGCTCGGCTTTCTGCCAAACAGAAAGTCAATCAACTGAGATTCTGTCGGCTGTCAAAGTTTAGACCCGGTTTTTGCACTTGTCATTGTCTGTTTCCGGACTTCTAAGTCTCCTCAGGCCAGCTAATTGCAACTTGAATGCCAAACTTTTGGGGCTTTTGTCCCATTCACCCTGGATTCATTTTTATACCCGTTTCACTTACAGTGTTTGCTTTTGGCCCCCGAAGGCAGTTCGTCAGTGGCAAACGCTGCGTATACGCAATATTATTTTTACAACTGTCAGCAGTTAGCCTGCGAAAAACTTTGGCAAGAGCAGCCAGCAACTTTTGGGGGCGAGTATAAACTTTCGTTGACAATTTGTCAGGGATTTTTCGACTATTTCTCTGGTGCTCGGCACTCAATGCTGAGTTGGCGGCGAAGACAATTTTCTGAATTTGATAACTGGCGGAAAAACTTTCGCCTGAGCTTTTAGTTTTTTAAGAACATAATATCCGTCTTGGCCTCAATTTTTGCCGTTCACGTACCGCCTAATTGCATAATTTGTATGCAGGATTTTGCGGCTGACTGCAATTTCGCTGGAATAAAAACTTTTATGCTCTTGTCCTTAGGCAACGTTTCGTTTTTGGCTTTTGGTTTCGTTTCGAAGGGCTCCATTGTGTTTTGCCTTTATGCCGTAAATTATTATCGCCTGCATGTGTGCCGCTCCCTTGCTCTGTGGGCCAAAGGATGTACATCCTACCCGTCGCTTCGTTACCAACTTGCCAACTGTTATTATCTGTCTCCCTGCTCCTTCGTACATTCACAGGCCCTTTCTCTTCCTCTCTCTGGCGTTCACTTTCTATCGCCAGGATCCTAAAATTCGTGTGCGTCTGTGTGAGTTAT